TCCACCAGGGAAACTTCAAAGTTGAGATACATACATACATACATACATACATACACACATACATACATACATACATACATACATACATACATATGTGTTTGCGTGTGTTTTCACGTGTATATATAAGCATATGTATACATATTGTGCATATGCGTATATATATATATACACAATTATATACACATTCATATGCATCCTTATGGGTAGATAGATAGATGGATGGATAGATAGATAGATAGATAGCTGCTAGCTATAGTAATGGGTAGAGAGGTAGATAGATAAATCGATAGATCGATATGCACATACATATGTCCATACATATATATATATATATACACATACACATACATCTAGAGATACATGTATCTACAGCTATGTAGTAGCATTGCCATTCGCGTGTTTCTCCAGAGTCAGCCCAGCCTTGGCAGCTTAGGTGCCTGGTGCCTCTTCGAAATCCTTCAGACCCGGCTAAAGGCCCACGTCGTGGGAGGTTCAGATAACGGGTAGGTATCGTACTGATGGCGTCCATATTGGGGTCGCTCAGTTTCTGAAGCTTCCACCTGGCAGTTTCAGAAACATCTGATTTTGCTCTTCCTGCATAGGAGGACCCTTAGCATAGAGATCCCCCAGCAAGGAGCCTCCCATTGTAAGCACCCTCTTCAAACTCAAGTCATCACCCAGGGTCCTGAAGCCCTACCGCCTGTCGGCCCCAATCAAGATTGAACCTAACGACTGAAGACCGGCTTCTTGGTTAGTGATTCTCTTCAGAGGTTCAACATTTGAGGCGAGGGTGATGAAAGAGGCTCCGGGCCAACCTCTTGGCCTTCTTGGCAGAAGCTTCACCTGCTGCACCAGCAGACGGGTTTACGCACTTTTCCAGCTGGGGTTTTCGAGGCGAATGACATCGGAGTTGCGACAACGAGCGAAACATTACAGGGAAGCAAGTTCATGCATGGGCATGGGTTCCCTCAACATGCAGGGACTGCACAACAGGTTTTCAGGAGCCTCCAAGATGCACCAAGTCTTGCGCTCTAAGCCGCGGGCACAGGAGAACGAGGCCGACAACTTTCAGGGCCTTTGGCTCTGTACCTCATCAGGCTCGGCTTCATGATCAGATCCGTGCATCTTGGGTTTAGAGTTTGGGGACAAAGTTTGGGACGTTGCAGGGTTTAAGGTTTCCGTGTGTGGTTTTGCACATTGGAGCTCGATGTCCCGCCGGCTTTGGAGGAGTTCTGGTTTCGGATTGACAGAGAGTGGGACACCGAACAGGGTTATAACTAAGGTAACTATACTTACAAACCCCAATTAGGGGACTTATAACCTTACTTACTAAGTCCCATCAGTGGAGGAGTGCTCCATGAAGGGAAGGCCGGCGTCGACGTGGCCATGCGCATCGCAGTGCCTCGATCTGCACGGAGGCTTTGCGCACCGTTTTCTACGAGAATTTATGGCTGGCTTTGGTTTTGCTCCTGGTGACTCCAATAATAACTATGCCTAAACCTATGTGACGTAGTTCGAGGCTTCTTAGCACCTGTATTTGTCTGCTGCTCTTACTGGACATAAATATATACATGCATGTGCACATACCATACATGCATGTATCGTTCCCTCCTGGCCCGATCTCATAGCAGCATGGGGCCTGCTCGCAGCTGCTGCGTTCAGGTGCTCAGCTCCAGGTCAGTTGTAGCTACAGCTCCTGCATCGCATCCAATTCGTAGGGTGGGGTGCAGGGTAGCTGAATCCCCTGGCGTAGGTAAGTGTGCTCATGCATACACACAGCCCAAGTCTCAGCTCCTGAAACTCGTGAAGGTGAACTCACAGCCACAGCCTGGCTGCAGGAGTCTAAGTGTTTCTCTCTCACCAAGCAAGCTCACGCTACCACCCAAATGAGGGTCCGTCCAACCCTGTCGAACCTCTAAGCCGCTAAGCACCAGGAGCGGCTGGCAACATTGCGCTTGGAGGATGCCACGGCCTCCGTGAAGAAGGACTGCACATCGTCTCGAGTGACCTTGAAGGCGATCTGGCACACAGGGCGAGGAAACCCTAAACTTTAGCCCTAAACGCTACAATCAGTCCATTTCGGGGGCTTCTGCAACTGCGTCATTCCAATTCGGAGTTGCTGCGTGCAGGACAAGGACATGATCGACGAGCTCGTTGCACAGATGCCAGGTGCCTCGCTCAGGGGGCGGGCTCGGTGCCACCGACACTTGAAGGAGTATGTTTACAGTGTGACAGTACATTGTAGATTCAATGTTATGTCTTTCCCCTGCGCGCTGCTTGCAGGTGGGTTCCCTGCAATGAACCGATTTGTTCGTCAAAAGATTTACGATGCCCTGCTGGCGATGCGATCATCGTTTTCAGCAGATTTTAACACCCTGCTGCAATCCCTGCACGGGGAGACCAATACGCTTCTACAGTCCTTGCACACGCAAGGCGGCGAGAGCCCTCCCACAAACTTGCCTATGGCAATGCGGAAGTAGTCGATGTTGCATGCTCTCAGTGCGGCATGTATAGCTTTGTAAAGTGGGCGGGATGGATGAGACAAGTTCATACCATTCGCCTTCGCATTGAAGCACCAGCAACTACCTCATTTCTTCTGCCTTGCTGTAAGCCAAACCCCGCCACCCATATTGAAAACCAGGGCGATAGAGCCGCAGATGCAAGTACATTCCGTTCATGACACTGCTGACGCTCCGAATGAGCTGGACTGGGGCCAGGTTCAGCAGTGCCAGCGGCTTTGCCACCTGCTCCGGTCTCAGAGGCCACTGGGCCTGCACCGTCACGAGAACTTCAAGTTGACCTTAACCTTACCCGTAGGCCCCATAGTACTAGTAGTTCCTTTTTGGGGGTTCATATTGTAGAATTCTATTAGGTAATCCCAAAAAGGAACTACTATGGGGCCTATGGGTAAACCCTGAACCCTTTTGGGGCTTTCTGTTCGCGCTGTTTGCCTGAAGGAGGCTCATGAGACTGACGATCCGGAGCTGCAGATGCCCCCTGTACCCACAGCGCAGGCACAGGCAGCGCGGGCTAAGATGGTTCTGTGCGAGACTCTGCTGTTGCCGCAAGGAGCGAGATCAGTTGAGAGGGATGTCCTTGAAAGTTTGTCTCTGTTCAGAACAGCCTTGGCTCAAATCCGCACGGCCTGCACAATGGAGCATTCACCGAACTGCGGCTGCGATGCTGCTGCGGGCAAAGTCCCCGTGCGTTTGGGCAGAGAGTGTCATTGGGAGACCA